ACTTAGCCAGGAAGAGCAAATCCTGTTCTGGTGTGCTAAAGCTAGTGTAGATGTGCTGCCTAGGAGGTGGAGCAAGTGGAGCTCAGTATGCTGGGTAGGCAGGGGAGCTTGATTCTCCATCACCACCACCGTCCAGTACAATTCCAAAAGCTCTGTTATAAACAGGCATTTTGGCAGAATTACATGTGTGTTCCACATCACGGTCCACAGATACTGATTGAGGAGGAATTTAGGAAGAGGGTTTTCTAGCACAGCCACACTTGGAAGTAGTGCAAAAAAGCAGTGTTTGGTGTCTGGGGAGCAACTGGCTGTTAGATTTGCCACAGGAAATCGCCCCCTCCACACACACCCCACACCCCATCACCCCTTCTCAGGAAAAGAAACATGAATGACTACAGTTAAGTTATTGCTAAATGTTAACCATAAGAAAATATAATCCTTCACTCAAAAAAAAAAAAAAATACCCCACCAAACAAAAAGGTGTAATTTACACCAGCATAACATGAGAAGAAAAAGAATAACTACTGCAGTTTTGAGGCTGGCTAGCTTTAGGTACAAATTGGTGTCTACATTTGATTTTTAAGCACAAGCTATTAATTTGTGCAGCTGTAGAAATGCTTTTATGATAGTTTCTAATTGAGACTGGGGAGTATTGTAAGTTTTCTCTTGGAGCCAAGCTCCATTACCTTAGTTGTCTGAACACCTGCAGAAATGTAACTTGGCTGAAGCCTGCAGGCCGACTGAAGGGACAGGATGGTGTGCCTTCATTCACACTTCGAAATACATGGCATCAATGCACACCCTGCATCAGTGGGAACAGAATCAAAAGCACTGGTAAACTTTCAGCCTGTATCTCTAAATAGATGACTTCACCGTGAAGGCTGCCCAGAGAAGCTGTGGATGCCCCATCCCTGGAAGTGTTCAAGGCCAGGCTGGATGTGGCTTTGAGCAACCTGGTCTAGTGGAAGGTGTCCCTGCCCATGGCAGGGGGGTTGGAACTAGATGGTCTTTAAGGTCCCTTCCAACCCAAACCATTCTGTGATTCTATAAAATCTGATTTTTCCAGTAGAAATACTTGATTGTGCATTCAAAACACAATTTTCCCATTAGAAATTGTATGAATTTTCTTTAGGAAGAGAAGTCTCAATCTGCAGTTCAGATTCTGGCTATTTTCCAAGCATATAACCAAATATTTAAAAAGTAAAGGAGAACGATCCTTAGGACAGTATTAGAGTGCAAAGAGAAAAGGTAGTTGGGAAGCAGAAGGCAACCTGAGGCCTCACTCTATGATTTATCTTCACTGGAAAGGTACAAATTATAGAACTATTTTCTTAAATAAGTGTCTTTGCTCTAACTTTGTGTGGCCATCTTAATGTTAGTAGAAATGCTGCACAGTTAGTGCTGGGGACAAACTAATAAATCCAGGTTAGATCCCTCCTTCTGCCTTAAGTCGTACAGATGCTATTGGTGACACACTCTCCTTGATCCTCTTTGGGGCAGGGGACGGCTGAGATGGTTCAGATAGCTTTAAAGCAGACATGTCATCTTCCAGAGTTTTGGGCTGTAATTCTTCCCAACTTCCAGTTGTCAAACATCTGCTTAATTTCAAGGGGGGAAAACAGGGCCTTTTGTTAGCAGTTTTCCTTCTTTAACTATTTTTTCATTCAAATACAGGTTAGTCTTTTTTGGCCTGCGAAGTTTCAGTCAGCGTTGCATGATCACTGACGCGTAGTACCTTTTTTCAGTTGGTCTGGAAATGACGTCTATAGCCACAATCACCCGTTGGCTCATGTAACCTGCGGTAGGTTGTGATTCACATTAGGACTGTTGTGCAGTAACATTTGTTTTCTGCAGGATGGCTGAAGTTAATGCTGACTGCTAGCTAGAGAAAGCTGCTGCTTTTTGCTTCAGTAAATGGGGCTCAGAGTTTTTTCCCAATTGCCTTTTTTAATTTTGTGCCGTGACGGGGACAACCTCTCATCATCGGGTGCACCGTAGATGCGTTGCACCTGGTGACTGTACAGACCATAACAATGAGAGGGAGCCTCACCAGTGTTCAGCAAGAACATTATTGTGTGCTCGCTCGTTACTGTGCGTTGGACCCCTGAATACAACGCCATGCTGGTAAGGCCTAGGTAAGTGCAGAAACAGCACCAGAGAGGTGTGTCTGTCTGACTGAAACATGGTCTGTCTCCATCTGCTCTCCCTGGGCATGGTTTTGCTATTGCTGTTATTAGGACAAAAACAGGTCCTGAGTGCTCCATCACATCATTTAGTATAGATCTATAAAAAGCCAAATGAATGTATCTTATTTAAGGGTTTTGGCAGAATTTGAGCAACGTAAATAAGGGTAAAGAAGCACCATTACCCATTCAGGTCATTCAGTTACTCAAAACCGATTCCTGAAGTTGCTGTGATGTAGAGCCTGACCTCTTTGGCTCCTGGTGCAGGGCAGGGATGCAAAAGCTCCAGTGCTGTCCTCCTGCAAATCAAGACTATTCAAGCAGTGGAACATGGTGTCTCCGCTGGCTTTGGCTGTCGTCTTTGCACTGATGACTCATGAAGCTTCTTCCATCTCTTAAAATACTCCAGTCATGGGAGGTAGCCTGCTTGTCTGTTGCCTCCTAGTGAGAGCTGTGCTGTCAGCTTAGAAGAAATGTGTGCAGCAGGCACTGTTGCCTGGGAATTCTCCCTCTCCCTGTCCATCACCGTTGACATGGGTTCCCACCGTGTAGGCCCTGTTCTGGGATCTTTTTTTTTTTTTTAATCTTTTTTCCTTTATCCCACACATCCAGAGCATCTTAGTACATCTTCCCTCTCTGTGTCCAAGTCCCACAGCATTCTATAATCCCAAAGACCTCTCTCTCTTTGGCCTTTGTTAAATGCCTGAGAGGTGGTTCATGTGCACAAGGGTAAGTGTCTGATGCCTTCCCGGGCGCAAGTCCTGTGTTTGACCCTCCCCGTTTATCAAATGGCCTTCCCTCTATCTGCACAGGTAACGCTTCCGGTGATGCTTTTACAGCTTGGCTTTCTCGCCCATTTAGCTTCTCTGGGCACAACGAACAGCACCTTCATTTCTGTACTCTCTGTTCTTCTCTGCAGAGTGTTTCCGCACTGTGTTTTCAAGTTCCATAAAGACCTGCTGCTGAAATAGCTCCACCAGCAAACAGTGAGGCGTGTTAACTTGAACAGAAGTTCGAAATGTGAAAACACTTTATTTTCCCATAGAATGTTTAATGAAATACTCGGGCTACTCTTTGAGTAGCTGTCATCTTCGGTAGCTTTGTTTTTGCAATTCTGTATTTTTCTAGTGAGAAGATCCTTTTCATGGACAGCACATGATACAGGCAACCTATGGAGTGTGGGGGAGGGGTTGTTCTACATAAATCTTTGACTTAGTTCTAAAAAGATGGAATTTTTTCAGGAAAATTTTTACAGACCACTGCTCTTTCTAGCCACCTTTTTCAGTCGAAATTAAATCCATTCAAGACACCATTTCAGCGTTCTTAAAGTGTATGTTTAAATTGTACTCATACCTTTAAACACTTTTGATTAGCAAAGCTGCAATTTTAAAATTAATTATTTGGGTTTTGTTCAATAAAGACAGTTCAGGTGAACTCAAATTAAGTCTGTCTTGAATTTTCAAGGTATGTGAAAATACTAAGTTTCCATTTCCCTAAATCACAACACTTTTGAAAATCTGAGATGGTTGCTGTACCAAAGAGCTGGGTTTTGACTGTTTTTTTTTAATTTTTTTTTTTTTTTTGGTGTCATCTTCATTCTGCTGACCTGATTTCAGGTCAACAAATACTAAAGACAGTTCCTCACCAGACTGTGAGGAACTGAACTTTAGTATTTTGGAAACTCCCACACACTTGTGACACTCATGACAATAATAAATTAGAAGAACAATTTTTAAAAAAACCCTATCTCTGTGCTGAAATGCTTTGAATGTTTCTCTTTTAAAAGCTTTTTACTTCCTGTACGTTCTTAATGACACTCTCTTCATCACATTTCTTATCATCGCTGTACCTGTGCCTGCATGCACGCTTCCCATTTTTTTTCTTATGTTGCCGTCTGATTGTTGGCTCTGTGAATTATGATGTGATGCAGCAGCAGGTCTGATGGTATAGACGCTTGCTCAATAACATGTTGGTTGTTGGCACCGTAAGGCTCGTTGTGAACATAGCTGGAAGAGCTACATCACACCTATCCATTGCCTAATTGCTACCTTGAGGGAACTGAAAAAATCAACAGCAAAACAACAACAAAGCAGCTCAGTACAAATTGCCTGTGAAACAATTTATTTGCAAGCATGCCATTACTTCTTCGTCAGTAATGGTTTAGCAATGTAGCTGTCATGTTTGCGGTTAAAGAGAAACATCTGTCTGTTCCTGAGGCATCATTTGTCTGTAGAAAACGAGTCCCAGTGCGTTCTTACCAAACACATTGCTTCTGAGGGGCTGCTGGCTGGGTGGGTTGAGAAAAACTTGCACCAATGAAGTTACAGGAGACAGTGAGCATACGAGGGCGAGGCAGAGGTGTTGAAGGTGGCTTCTGTCCCCTGCAGAAGTCCTCTGAGCCAGCTGGGTCTCACTGCTCACAAGCTGAATAGACAGGGCGGGTGAACGTGTCGCCCCTCCCTGCTGTGCCCACGTAGCCGAGGCGACGTAGGGGTGATGACCTGCACGTGAAGAAGGGGAGTGCAGGTCAGTGGGTTGCAAGTTAAACACAGAAATGGTAACGAGTGTTGAGCCAGCGCAGGGAAGCTGTGTGTTTTCCCATGGTGGCTTTAGGATTGCACAGTGCCATCAAGTAAGTGTAGCTGTGAGAGACGTTTGCAGACTGTAGGGCCCAGAGGCATAATGGTGAATAAAGCTGGTGACTGTAAAGATGTTATGGAGTTAAAAGCCTCTGAGGATTCCCAGAGAACACACAAACAGCTGTCGGGAGACTTCACTGTGGTTTGTGTTTTGTTTTCCTTAACTACGGATGTTCAGATATTGATCAGTGGAATAAAGTTATTGAGCAGCTAGGAACACCCTGTCCAGAATTCATGAAGAAGCTGCAGCCGACGGTACGGAACTACGTTGAGAACAGACCCAAGTACGCTGGCCTCACCTTCCCCAAACTTTTTCCAGACTCTCTTTTCCCAGCTGACTCGGAACACAACAAACTCAAAGGTATGTCTGACAGAGGGATGCCAACAGTGCATAGATGTTTTTTTCCAATTGTTCTTCTCTCTAGTTGCACTCCCTTTTAACGAAGTCAGTTCCAGAGACAAGTGACTGCATGGGTTTTGTTTAGCTGAGAGGCAGCTTTTGGAAATGATTTTTGGAGACCCTGGTGCTTGGACAGCTAAGGGAAACAAACATTATCACGGATGTGCTGAGCATATTCCCATGGCGTTCTGTGTGATGTTCCTGCACCACAAGGAACTGAGGTGTTCCTTCACTCTCATTCTTAAACTTGTAACACAGAGGAACTTCCACTGGAAAATCCTACTGCTGGCATTCTTCTGTTTTAGGTGAAAAATGTCCATTCAGCCAGGTGCCTGCCCCATAGCTCTGCCTTTTCTAGACCATGGAAAGATATCAGCAGCATCAGCAAAAATGGTCTCGATGTAGCTGAGGTTTACTATCTGCTGTGGGTGGATTTCTTCTCGTGAAAAATGCTGTGGGTCGGTTTGGATGTGTGAAGTTGCGTGCTGCCTTAATTACAGTGTGACTAGATACACCCCTGTAAAACAGAAGTTGCAGGGATTTTCATCGTATACGGAAGTCCAGTTTCACTGGAACAGGTCGTTGATCTTCAGTTGGAAAGAGCCATTAATGTGTGTTGAGCGTAGAAAGGATTTCTCCACACAGCTCTGGGACCCCTGCAGCCTTTGTGCTGTGCATCTGTTCTGAGCCACCTGAGCACCTGGGGGCCCTTACAGTGGTGGCCCCCATACGTAAGGGGTTTCAGCTGCTTGCAGTTTGCATGTCACTACGTTAGCCAGAACACTCTTCCAGTTACCAACTGTGTCATAGCAAGGCTGCTGTCTCGGCTCTGGGAGCAAAGTGAGAGGTCTGAGCAGATGCTTTTGGATACACAGAATTTTATACTCCTACTACAATAAAATTGAATAATGGAGTTGTCTTGGATTTGGAGCTAATGAACAGAAATGCCTGTATTATCAGGTAAAATAAATCAATGTTGCAACGTAAAACTCAGTGTGTGTATATATATAGGACTGTGCTTTTTTGTAGTGGAGAATGATGGGTCCCACTGACTGTAACTTTGTTACGTGGGGCAAACAAGACTTAAGCAGTTTCAAGGCACTTCCATACTATTATGTGTTGATCCCAGGCTACAGATTTGACATTGTTGCCTTTAATGGGGTGCCCTAAGATAAACTGAAACATTTAGTGTCTGCCAGCAGGCTAGGTGAAAAACTTCAAGACACAGAAAAGTATGTTTTCTTTATGCACCACTGTAAGAGAACCTGTTAGTTTCAGGCTTTGATGTAGTACTGCCATGAGTTCAGACTTCATCATGCGAGCTTTTACTTGGGTGTATTGTTCAGCCTTCTACATGGTATCTGCATGCAACTTGTGAGATCTTACTGTAGCTTGTTAGGGGCCCTATGATATGCAGCCCTGATATTGGCTAATGAATCCAACCCAAAATGATTACCGAAGAGCTCTTGCCCTAACAAGGCAAGGGGCAGAAGTATGTCTAAACAATCTCTGCAAGGGTTGTGTCCTTGTTCCTTTCCTAACCCAATTAACCCTCCTCTGGAGACAGCAATTGTTTTGTACTAATACTGTGTTTATCTGATCTCGTTGTTCTAGCCAGCCAAGCCAGGGACCTTTTATCAAAGATGCTAGTCATTGATCCAGCCAAGCGAATATCAGTAGATGAAGCCTTACAGCATCCATACATTAATGTCTGGTATGACCCAGCAGAAGTGGAGGCGGTAAGTGAGGCGTGACTTCAGACTGCTAAACCCAGATATGGTTCATTCGTTTCTACAGCTTTACAGCAGCCTGATAACCAGCCTGCTCTAAGGAAACAATGTTGTTGTGACTGTGGTGGTCTTTGGATGTCCGTGAAATGAGATCTTTAGGAACAGGATGTATCTCTTTGTTAGATGAATTGACAACACATGGGAGAAGCAAAAACACCTCAAGCATATGAAGCCATTGTCTGCTTTCTTCTAGACAACACGAAGAAAGGATTTTGAACCCAGCAGCTCACCTGGTTTTTCTAGCTATATAAGTCAGTCTGGCAAAAGATACTGTCTTTCTCTCCACATGTATCTTCGTGGAAAACAGCAAACATCATGTCCTGTGTTTGTGCTCAAAGATATACGTGGGGAGGAGGAGGATTAAAGACAACAATACAAAATCCTGAACTCAGGCCTCAGAAAAATCTTAGCAGGACATAAATTACTCCTTAATATGAAGCAGGGGCTTGTGTTTTCCTGGGCCACAGTTCCCGTGCAGTATCATGTACACCGTGTGCAAGCAGAAATGGAAGTTTTCTCACAGTCCTGTTGTGCTCTAGACACCTCCATATCCCCTGATGAGGCTGATGTTAGGGGTGATCTGTAGGCACTTCAGTGACAAGGTGTAATAGGTATAAAATCAGAGAAGTTCTCTGTAATAGTATGTGTGAAAACAGAGCTCAGTATTCCAACGGGTTTAGGAATCTTACATAACCACAATAGGAATCTAAGACACTGAACCTTGCAGAATGGAAACACTGGTGTTTAGCGACATGCTCCGATTCAGTGTGTGTTCTTGGAAGAGCAGTAAATGTCAAAAGCAAATGGAACGCAGAAAATACTGTCAGATGTCACGTGCATAGGTTTTTTGCAGAGTGTGTTGCTCAGGAGTGCTTTACAGGCCACGGTTCTGCTATCTAGGGAGCTTTTAGGTTTTGTGTCCTCTTTGGTTTTCTTTGACATTAAAGTGTGTCAGTCTGAAGTGTGAACACCCTGCAGTATTTTACCCCCTGGCACATACGGGTTTGTTTCACATCTCTCTTGAAGATATTATTCTGTTGTGAGGTACTTCTGTTGTATTTCCATGTGCTTCTTAACTCTGGTTTATGGAACTACTCTGATGTCAGCATCCGGATTTGGGTCCCTCTTTAGATGTGCTTTGCCTGTGAATTTAACCATGGAGAGCCGCTTCTGATGCAGAACAGGAGGGGGATTTGGTACACTGGACATTTTGACGGAGCGATTTGCCCCATTTCCAAACGTATGCTCATAGTTGTATTTCAGATTGAAGCAGAGGTTGAACTTTTGTCATAGTGAGGTTGCCCTTTTAGAAGAAGAATCTTGCCACACGTGCCTAGGCATGCAGCTAATGCTGAAGTGCCTTTTACTGTCCTCTCATGCAGACAGAGATCGGGGTACATCCATGGCTGGGGAGGCAATGGTTTAGTTTCTGATTGCACCATACAGTCCTCACGTGATCCAGAACAAACCGCATCCTTTGGATCATGGCTGTAAAACAGAAATAACAATTAGTTGTTCTGCCTGCCAGGTGAATTGGCTGGAGTCTAATGGCCCACCGGCTCTCAAAAGCCTGCAGTAATTACATTCTAGGTCACTGAGGCATTAGTCTCTCGCATGCGCCTTCTCTCACCACAGATACCTGCACAAACATGGTGCCACCCGCTATCGAACCACATTCCTTGCATTTTCACTTTGGCTGCATTTCATTGCTCAGTAACTGACTGTGAAGACGTAAAGCAGTGGGAAACAAAACTGTCCCCTAGCACCTCAAAGAGAGAGGACACACTGTGAGGAAGGAGCAGCGCCTTTAAATGTTCAACTTCAAATGCTTGATGTTGGCCCATTTATTTGTAGTTTGCATCTTTGTCTGAATTGCATCTTTTTAGATAATACTTTGTTCTCTTCACCCACCTGGTTCTTTGCACAGTTACTGTGTAGTTAACATGAGCTGAACATCGGCGTCCCCAGCTGCTTCCTCTGTCTCTCCTAGCTTCAAGGTTTTCTCTTCCCAAACGTGATATATCTCGTCAGTAACATGCTGTAGAGTCACGCTAATACTTTGTCATGAGTACTTTGACAGTGAAGTGTTACTGAATTGCTTTGACACCAGTCGCTCTGTGGTACAGACCCTTCTTCCTGGTGTTTAACCTGCTGTGAACCCAAGAGAAGTTTCATGTTGTGGGCAGCGTAACCTAAATAGAAGAACATGGGATTAAGAGATACTCATTGTGTTTTGTCAGGGTGCTAGGAATGCTAGAAACGGCCCGGCTTCACTTAACACTCTCTGGTTTTTCCAATCTCATTTTCAGAGGGAAGGTTAAACTGGAGGACTTTCTTTTTGCTATTAACCATTTGTTAAGTTCTAAATCTCCACCTGTCCATGCTGACACACCTTCCGAATTATTTTCTGGAGAAAACTTAGCTCAGTTGGATTTTCTTTGCCTCTTGATTTAGCTGTTGAAGGGTAGTCAGTCTGTTTTTCATCTGCATTGCCTCCGTGGTGGAATAAGTTTCTCAAGCAGATCCATGGGAGATTGGTGGCTTTCTGTTCTTTCTCAGAATTAGAATCATAGAATCA